ACTAAGCACGGCCTCGCCGCCCAAGCACCCGGGACGGCAGGGCTGATGCCGTGCGCCCAGACGGGCAGCTCAGGCGTCTACCGCCAGCTGCAGCGCCCGGGGCCGTTCTCTGGTGAATGTGTGAGCCGTGACCGCTGGCACCATGCTCAGGATGGGACATAGCCGATCTTCATCTCATGGGATGCTCCTGCTGCAGCCAGAGCCGACGGGAGGGGATGTGACCTCTGGTCCCTCATCCACCCTCCAAGCCAGCGGCACGGGAGATGGGCCGTGTCCCCTGGGAACCACCCAGCATCCCCTGGCTGTGTGCTGCGGCTGCCAGGAGAGGAGCCCAGCCGAGCCCTGCATTTGGTCCTTGCTTTCCCTCCATTAACAGCAGACCCAGACCTGAGTTTCTTAAGGAGAAGGCCAGAATAACCTCCTTTTGCCAGTGGAAATACTCGGGCAGTGTGGCAGTGGGATCTGGAGGGGATCCAGCCCCCAGCTTGGAGAAGCCACCATGCCCATGGCCAGCAGGATGCTGCCAGGGCTGTGGCATGGCAGGGAAAATGGTACCAGCCCCAGCTGAGCCCCAGGCCTTCACCCTGGCAAGCTCCTGCCGCAAGGTGAGCAAATGTCCCCACAAGGTGTTTGTGCTACTGCTCCTTTCTCCTGTGCTGGCGGGAGCTGGTTTTGGCTGCAGTTGGATAACTTGGGGTTTGCAACTACTGTCACAGCTGAAAGGTCTCCCCAGCTCTTCCCCACCACCTCTCCTCAGCAGTTGCGCAGTGACGGGAGTCTCCGAGCCGTGCGTGACAGCCGGGACCACTGGCAGGGTGAATGTTCTTGTCACTCCTGAGACAGTTTGTGAGAGGCCAGGGAAGGGATGGACCCTGATTTCAACCTCCTCCTTCCAAAGCTCATCTGCTCCTGCCATTTCCCATGGTGTTTTGCTCCTGCTGACGAGCAGTGAGGGATTGCTGCGGACAAGGCAGCACAAAGTAATCGCCTCCCTGCCCCGCTCCCAGGACGCTGCATCAGAGATGTGGGGTGGGAAGGTGTGCACAGGTCAAGGGCCAGACATGGGGGTGTTCCCCATTCCTTACCAGCCTCCCCACACGGGCAGTGCCACTGCCGCGCCGCTCCCAGTGAGACTGCCGGCGCCATTCACTCTCTTTGCTCTTGCTCCAGGGAGGAGCCGCTTCCCTCGCCACGGGAGGATGGAGGTCCTGCAGCTCCTGCGCCTGTTCCTCACCACCACCATGCTGGGCCTCTCCCAGACCGTGAATCCCTTTGTGGCCCAGCAGACCCCCCCGGACCCTTGCTACGACGAGAGCGGCGCTCCTCGCCGCTGCATCCCTGAGTTCGTCAACGCCGCCTTCGGGAAGGAAGTTCAAGCCTCCAGCACGTGTGGGAAGCCCCCGACACGGCACTGCAACGCCTCGGACCCCCGCCGAGCCCACCCGCCCGCCTACCTGACCGACCTCAACACCGCCTCCAACATGACGTGTTGGCGCTCGGAGACCCTCCACCACTCTCCCCAGAACGTCACCCTCACCCTCTCCCTCGGCAAGAAGTTCGAAGTGGTCTACGTCAGCCTCCAGTTCTGCTCGCCCCGGCCCGAGTCCACCGCCATCCTCAAGTCCATGGACTACGGCAAGACTTGGGTGCCGTACCAGTACTACTCCTCCCAGTGCCGTAAAATCTATGGCAAGCCCAGCAAAGCCACCGTCACCAAGCAGAACGAGCAGGAGGCCCTCTGCACCGACGGCCTCACCGACCTCTACCCCCTCACCGGTGGGCTCATCGCCTTCAGCACCCTCGATGGGCGACCCTCTGCCCAGGACTTTGACAGCAGCCCTGTGCTCCAGGACTGGGTGACAGCCACCGACATCCGCGTGGTCTTCAGCCGCCCGCATCTCTTCCGTGACCTGGGCGGCCGGGATGCTGGTGAGGAGGAGGGGGGCACCGGCTCGACCCCCTATTACTATGCAGTGGGGGAGCTGCAGGTCGGCGGGCGCTGCAAATGCAACGGGCACGCAGCGCGCTGCGTGAAGGACAAGGAGCAGAAGCTGGTGTGTGACTGCAAGCACAACACGGAGGGTCCCGAGTGCGACCGCTGCAAGCCCTTCCACTACGACCGGCCCTGGCAGCGGGCCAGTGCCCGCGAGGCCAACGAGTGTCTGGGTAAGTGTTTTTTTGGTTTTTTGGGGTTTTTTGTTTTTTCCGGGGCTGAAACCCTAAAATGGATCATTGGGGAAGGAAGTAATGGGTGCTGAGCTGAAACGATGGAGCATGCTTGTCCAGAGAAGCTGGGGAGCATCCCCCTCGCTGGAAGGCTGGGAAGGGCTCAAGCATCTGCCCTGTGGGTGCCCCTCCGGAGATGCGGTGGTTTGGCCATGACCCAAAGTATCCAAAACCTCCGAAAAATCACCGGTGTCTTCCAGCTGGTCAGAAAACCTTGGTGTAGGATGCAGGATGCCTAGCTGGGAGTGTTTCCTTTGGGCAGCAAACCAGCCGTCCCTGGGCCGGGAGGGAGAATCATGGTGATGCCCTGCGAGATGTGCTCTGGGGCAAGGGGCAGGCAGCAAAACCTGACAGAGATTAAGGAAATACTTGAGATACCCTGATTCAACATATTATCATTTGTGTTCGGTCTGGCACGGTGCTTTGTGTGGTGGTCTTAGCTTGTCTGTCCTTGCAAAGGTTTCTATGAGTTAAAATTATTGTCACTGAAATGAAACATTTCCAAAACATCAAACTGGCGTTGCTCGGCTGTCCCACTCTGAACCTTTGTGGGATTTTGGTAGAGGTTTTTGCCTTTTGTCCTGATTTGGGATGGAGCTGGGGGATGCCAGAGCCCTGCGAAGGTGTGGGAGAGGGAGGAACAGCCTCTCGCTCCTCCTGGACCAGAGCCCGGGTCCCAGGGGTGGTGGGAGGATGGAGACAAGGGAAAGCCGTACCATTAATCAGCCCCTGAAAGGCTCGGTGGATGTGCCAGAGGTCAGAGGGACTTGTTAGTATTTGTGATCGATGTCTCGTTGAGATCCCAGCTGTCGGCTTAAATATATATATGTTACAGCAGATTTCTTCTAAGAATGGCTAAAAAGGCAGCGGATTCAAAGCAAGTGCCAGAGCTGATGCTTTAAACCACCTCACACCCTGTGGGAATGTGTCAGCCCTTGCGTTTTCCCACTTGTCTCAGAAAGATGAGGTTTGGAGCAAAGCTCGGGAAAAAAAACAAACCCTCGACTCCAGACCCTGCCCACAGCTGCTGCCTCCAGCTGCCAGCAGGTCAGGCAGGGGAGGGCTCTACCTGGTGGGAGAACCTCTGGAATCCCCCTGGGACAAAAGGAGGACCCCGACCCAATGGCTGCCTCTCTTGTGGCACCCCAAGCCGCATCCTCCTCGCCGCCGAATCCTCCGGTAAAGTGGTGCGATGGCAGTGGAGGTGGCTCTGCCGGCACAAAAGGGGTTAAACTGGAGGAGGCTCATTCTGGGGGAGCATCCACGGGTCTCCCATCCGTCTGTTGTCTGTCCATCCTGTCCATGGTGGTGTGAGGGTCCCGCTCCGCAGGGCTGTGCTCCTGAGTGTCCCTGCCCCTGCTGTGTCACCCTTTTGGCAGATGGGGCTGAAAAGATAAACGAGGGAGAGAAGGAGGTGGGGGCACGGCACAGTCCATTCAAGCCCCCCCCCAGTGAGCCCCGTGCACAAAGACCCTTCACCGAGCTGCGTGTGAAAGTAGTTTTTCCTGTAGATTCGCTCCCTTCTTTCTCCCTTTCCCCTCTCGGGCTTTGTGCCCTCTCTGAAGGGACCTGAAAGAGCTTCTCCCTCACCCGCCTCCGAAGGGCTTAGCGGCTGAAAGCTGGATTAACTCCCCGAGCCTTCCCCTCTGTGCCTTTCAACAATGACATCTCCCCAGCCAGCACGAACAGACGCAGCAATTAGCACCAATTAAAAGGAGAGGCCGCCCGGGAAGTTCCCTTTGCTCAGTCCGGGGGCTGCGAGGTTTCGGACTCCAGTCCTGCGGCCGGGCATCGGCGATGCTGGCTCGTGGTGGTGGATAGTTGCGTGTGGCCGGGGAGGGGCGAGGAGGAGGAGGGTGGATGTATGCGGGAGCTTGGCAGCCCAGCGCCAGCTGAGGGGCAGGGTCAGGGGGCTGCGGCACCCCAAAAGTGGATCGAGATGGAGCTGTGGGGCTGGTACAGCCTCAGGTCACGTTGGGATGTCACCTCTTGGATCAGTGCTCCCCAGCACCCTGCATGGGGGTTTGTCCTCCACTGGTGCATGGGAGTCTACCTGCTCCGGCATGGGGACAAACTGATGTCCTGCATCATGCCACAGTGCTGGGACATCCATCCACACAGCTGGAGGTGAGGGCAAACTTTTCTTATTTCACAAGAGTTTCTGCCTCTGGGTGCAGGGAAATGCAGAGGTGAAGCAGCCGAGTGATGGCTGAAGTCTGAGCATCGGCACGGGTCGTGACCCCACCACGGCTGCCGTAGGGTGGCCGTGGCATTCACAGTGATGTCGCTGTGCTGCGGTGTTACGGGGGGTCAGCGTGACTTTGGCAAGCAGGTGGGTTTGGGGATGTTGCAGCTGGGATGGCAACAGTGGATTTGCCACGCTGTTGGCTTGGCAAGAGGGCATGGTGCCAGCTCCATGCCGCAGGGTGCATGGCCCCGTGCCTGGTGGTTAGAGAGCGGTGCCATCGGTCCACAGGCACCGGGGGCTCTCCCAATACCCCAGAAGGGCTGCGTGTCCCGCAGGGAGCTTGCCCTGCCAATATTAGGATGCTCTGTGCACCCTCTGGTGTGCCCTGCCCGAAACAGGGAAACGAGAAGGGCAGGAAAGGGAGAGACATGCCCCCATCCATGTGTCCCCCCATCTTTTAGCTCAGGTCAGGCTCCGTGAAGGATAATCCTGGCAGAGTGGCCGGTGAGAGCATCATCGCTGAAATCGCGAGCCCCCCCCAGGTGATGCATCAGGTTTATTCTTGCACACTCGCACCTCCTCCTTTCCCACTGCTGCTGCCAGTCCCTGCCTGCATGCACGGAGCTGCTCAGGGCGGCCAGATCACCCCCTGGGCAGGCCGTCCCCAAAACACCCGGCCTGGGGAAGGGGGAAGCGGATTAGCACAAGGCAGCCACTGGAAGTAATTGATGCACTCGCTGGGAATGCGGGAGCTCTTGTTCCCTTTGTGGCTGCCGCGGCGGGAGCGCTCCCCGGAGCACCGGGATAATGCACGGGGCTTGCTTTGATCTGGGGGGCTTGGGAGGGAAGCAGCTGAGCGCTCCTGGGAAG